TTCATTTTATTATTTTATTGTTGATTTTAAGTTAACAAATTTAGTTTCATAAAATTCTTTTAAATGAAAAAAAAAAATTAATTGCTTGCTTGTTACGATTTATAAGCCCAAATTCTGAAATTCGCTTCAAGCCTCGCAAAACACAGGTATGGGCCCTGCTCAAAAATGCATCAAGTGGATTTCCGATTAGGGGCATTGCACGTGCTATATAATTACATTTGAGTTTCAAAAGAAAAAAAAAAAAAAAAAAGAGTTGCTCTTTACATTAAAGCTTTTAAATCTCATTTAACTGTTTCTCAACATTCTATCGGCGTATTTTACTATAAAGACAGAAAAGGATGTCAAGATTCAAATAACCAATCTACACTTACAGAAATGTAGTTTCACAAAAGTTCTACAGATTACATACAAGGGAGGGTGGGAAAATTTTTGAATCAATTTCTAATCAGGTGGATCCCATATCGGGACCCACCTCATGTGAGGGTCGGTAAAACCTATGTGAAGAGGTTTTCTGTATAAATGGCTTTCCTCATATTCAAAACCAACCTTGAGATGATCAAAGTGAAAGTACAGAGCCAATATTAACAACTAGAGTTGCCGCAAAATCAGGCCCTGAATTGAATTCATTCATCTACATTTTGACAAGAAATCAAAGGTCAAATATTCATTGAAAAAAGAAGAGAAAAAATGCAAAATAAGTACCCAACTTATTCATCAAAACTTATGATCGAAAAAGAACATACCCAACTAGGTGCACTACCAGAAGGGCCATCCCACCCAATGTGTGTAACATGCTTAACGTCTGTAGGGTATCCTATCTCTATTTCACGATCCTCCTTCACAACTACAGAGAAAAACCATTTTCACCTTATCCCCAAAATGAAGAAAAGAAAACAAAATAAACCCATAAAAAAGCTATAATGCTATTAAAGTTATGAATAGAAATAGGGAAAAATTCATAAATAAGGTGTATTCTTTACACCAATTCAAAAATAAGGTTTATAGTTTGAAACTTCAAAAATCAGGTTTTTTTTTTTTTTTTTTAATTCTAATATAATATAATATAATAAACCCACCCCACATGCACCACCCCCCTACTCCGGTGACT